CATTTGGGATCAGTTCTAATTAGCCAGGTTGTTTTCTTGTTCTGTTTTGTTATTTTAAACTTAGCTAGTACAGGCTGAGCTACTATAGATGTTCAATCAGTACTGTGCTAGATTCTGTAACACATACATAAAAGTACAACTCATTCTTTACTCTTAAATTTGATTTTTTGTGTGTGTGGTGGTGAGAGGATACTGAGAGAACAAGACTTACATGTGTGTAAAATAATAAGAATTCAAGATAATACCCCACAGAGGTAAATAAAACCCAGTTTTGGGGACAGCAAAACTTCAGTTTTCATGGAGATAATTAGATTTTAAGATGCATTTCAAAAAATGAGTAAGATTTGTATAGACAGCAAGTATAGAGGGTATTATAAGCAATACACAACATGAGTCAAGACTAACATGTGTGTGCCCAAGAAAATGGGATCTACATGACTAGAATAGAGACTATATTGAGAAGTGAAAAAGTTACTCCATATATTTAAACATTTAAAGTGTGTGTGTGCATGTGTGTGTGTGTGTGTGTGTGTGTGTGTCCAGGTGGCATTAACACGTAAGCACTAGGATACTAACTGAAAGATGGCTATTTGAATCCATCCAGAGGCAACATGGAAGAAAACCTGATGCTCTGCTTCTTATAGGGCATAGCCATGGAAAAATCCTATAGAATGCTGTTCTACTTTGAAACACATGTTGGAAATGATTGAATGGCAACTGGCAGACACACACTCAGATATACATACACATGTACTCACATACCCACACCTTGTTATATTATAAGAATTTAATAATTAATAATGTCCAAGCATACTGCATGATGATATTACAAATTTACCATCTACTCATGCCTACTCTGGGCTTCAAATTGGATGGCTTATTGTGTGTATTATGATTGATTATCTCCTTAGAAAAGCAATTCCAATGGGTACATGGACAAGATAACTGAATGAAGATCAACAGCAGATGAAACTCTACCAAAATAGTTTATTTATTTATTTACTATTATGAATGGCTTTCTATATCCCAGACATGATTATGAAAGTTCTTCTTTGCTTACTTTGAAGATATCCCATTTGCCTCAACATACAAGATATTTCAGGGTCTGCATTCAAAGGACAGGTTGAAAGGAAGCGTTAGTAGTCAACTTTGAGGTCTATTTATCACATATATATTAGGAATAAATGAGTTTATAGCACCTTGACCATGGATGCAACACCAAAGGTAGTACGGAATATAAACTAAGTTATTATCCTCCAGGCAGTGGGTCTTGGGGATGAGAGGCAATATGGCCAACGATATTGAAAAGTACCAAACTATATGAAGTCCATAGAATGTATTTTGTCTTGGACTCTATTCATAATTATTTCTGTCTCAAAAATCAAATGTCTCAGAGATCTATGAATTTTCTACACTTAGCCCTGAGCTACTCATTCCTATCTCAGAAAGACAAGATAGACATTCCAAATTATAAACGGAACTCAGGGCAAAATACACAAAGCACACTGGATTAAGTAGGTTTATTTACTTTAAATTTGAGATGTAATACTATGTAAAACCAACTTTTACTGAGAAGCTGTAAATGTAGATGAAAGTAATTTTCTCTAAGAGTATAATTTAAATAATTCACATTTTTCTTTTACCAAAAGAGACAAATGACTAAGCCATTTATAATAATGGTCAATGTAAATATTTTTATTTACTTGTTTTACTGTTACGTTAACATCTATGTTAAATTAAGCACCTGTGTTAATTTAAGCACATGTGTTATATTATTAATTAAGGACCTATCTTTCTTAAATATTCTTAAAGATGTTAAAATATTGTATTCATTAGACCACAGAAATGAAATGGGAAATGTTATTATAACATTTTGTTTCCTTTCAATTCTTTACATATTGAAAAATGTATCTATAACTACAAAGAAAATTTAGCAGCTTAATTTATGAGTTACTTCCATTAATACTTTATTTTATATGTTTTCCTTTCACTTCAAAACACCTGTAAACTGAGAAAAATATAACGTTGTCTATAATTATGATTGATTTCTTTAGATTACAATTCAGGATGCTGGCCCTGAGAAATTGGACCCCAAATATTTTGGAGAACTGCTTGCTGATCTAAGTCGTAAAAATTCAGACCTATATCACTGCTTATTAGAACATTTGCAGAGAATTGGAGGAAGGTACAGTGTACATATCAATTGACTTATCTTGTAAATGTTATTGAACATACAATACTGGTAGCTTTAATGGGGATATGGGGAAATTATATGAGGAGAGCCAAGCAAATATGTAATTTTAAGACTTTATTATTGCTTAATCCCATTAGAGTATCTCAGGAACTATTAGTATTCTTTAATGAAAAAAATTTATTAAAATCATCAAAAAAGGAACAGATTAGCTTTTTAATCTTAATTAAAAATTCTGTATGCCTTTCATTATATTTTGATAGCAAAAGAAACTTTTTTCCTCCAAACCAATTTATTGGGAGTTAATACAGATATCATACCATATCATTCCTTCGTTCAATCACATCAAGCAATATTATACAATTGCTACCACAATCAGTTTCAAAACATTCTCTTCCTTTTGTAGCTCCTTGACATCAGCTCCACTTTACCCCACCCCAACTCTACCCCCCTAGGGGAACCCTTATTCTACTTGCTGTCTTTATAGGGTCATCAAGACTGGGTTTCATATACTGAAAAACAGAAAGCATACAACAAAATTCAAAAGTTCCTCCCAATGACAACATACATCTAAGAATAATCCCAATATGAAACCCCCACACACACACACAGAAAATGTTGAAAAACAGATCAGGCCCAAGCTTTTAACCATTGATGTCAGGTTTATCATTTTGCTCTTCGATAGTCATTGCTCCATCTGTTTGGTAACCAGTATCTTCCCATCCCTCTATTACGGATCGAGGGAAATCACTGGAGGCGTTTCCTATGTAGATCTCACAAATGTACTGTATCTTGGGCTTCTACTGTCATCCATAGCCTTCTGCAAACCAGATTCTCACAATTCAGGCTCTGATACTATTCCCTCCTTCCTTCAGCTTCAGATTATATGATTTACAATCATTTGGTAACTGATGATGGTGTGCATCTTCCATGTGGACTTAGTTGATATCCCCTTAGATGACTGCTTGTTTGGAAACAAGCCTTTAAAAACCCAGATGCTATTCCACCTAATTTCTTCGCCACACTTTGCTATAGCACCCATATCTTCATTGTTTCCTTCCTGAGGATGAGTATCAAGCAGGGCCATGATGTAAGAACTAATTTTTGTTCTATTGGAGCTAGGATTTAGTGTGAGCCCCAAACGCATTCCTGAACTTATGCTTTTTTTTATTGCCTTTGGCTCACTTTAGAGACCTCCTTGTTAACTTACAGTAGATAATCTTATCACTCAGCTCCCTAGAGCCTAAAGATCTTCTGTTAATATTGCCATTGATTAGCTGCTGGTACTCATTTAAAAAAACAACGAACACTGTTGAGAGAGGGATATTTGTCCAATATAGGCAAAACCCATATTAAAATACCTGAATTATTCAATTGTATAGAATCAAGCCTTTTGTGGCTGGACACTTTACACAAACAAATGGAGTTGATTATCAGGGAAAAATTACAATAATATCCACAGAGAATTTCAGCCACTGGTTTGCTGGGATAATATACATCTTCATACAGCATATAGGGCATTCATGTAGTAAGTCAATGATTGTCCACCTACCGACAGTTCAATAATCTTGGTATAGCTGTCTTCTGCTCCTTAAAAAAACCATGAATTTTCTGCCTTAACTCCTCAGGTTACAAACGTGTTTGAGGTAGAGTCCAGTTCTCCTAGTGAGGTTTCCACATTAGACTTCTCTGGTGAATTTCATAGGGAAGGAGCTCAAAAATATATGACATATTATGACTTCTTTTGAAATATTACTCTAACAATATGATACAGTTCTACTGCCCATCACTGACACAACTGTCTACCATCCACTCGTGTGTTCAAAATAAATAGACACCATAGATTAATATTCACTGTTTAGTGCTTTTTCTCTATTTAATTTACATAACAACCTAAACAACTAGAAACTTTCTTTTTTCCGGTCTTCAGTTCCACATGGTGTGCACATTACTAAGTTGAGGTCATACAGCTAATAAATTCTTGAGATGAGTTCAAACTTTTGTAAGAACTCATTGACCTATAAACCATCAATCAACTTTTCTGCAAAGCCTTTCTTATATCCTCAGTTTGGTTGAGGTGCACTTATTCTATGCAGTCGGGGTGTCCAGAAATATCTCTGTCAAAGCGTATCATTGTAAAATCAAGGAGTGTTTAGAGATATAGTGCTTATATACCCTGATCCTGGGTCCAGAATTCATTTATTGGGTTGAGGTCTCAATTTTTATTACATATTAGATTTTTGGTGTTAGCTGCCATTTGAGTCGCTTCTGATCCATAAAGACCCTATGTAGCAGAGCAGAACTCCCCGGAGGGTTTTCTAGGCTGTAATCTTCATAGGAGCAGACTGCAAGGTCTTTGTACACAAGAACTGCTAGTGAGTTTGAACTGCAGACTTCTGAGTTAGCCGTTGAGTATCAAGTAAATTGTGAACCTCTCCGTGCCTCAGTTTCTTCATCTGTAAAACAAGGGTTATAGTAATAGTATGTATCTTGTGTAAGTAGTAAATGAGTTAAAAAACATGTACTTATAAGCAGCCTAAGCATCATATAGGAACTTTTTGAAAATAAACCTATAGAATCATAAACAGTGGTGCCCACTAATCTATATTTCACCCAACCTTGCAGGGAATTCTATTGCACACTCAATTTTGAGGCCAGTGACAAAAGTGTCTCAAAAGTGGTAAATGCTGGGATTAGAATCCACACTTAGAGAAAATGTTTTGCCTTGGGCAAATCACTTAACCTTTGTTGAAGAATTGAAGTCAAATTGGAATGAATTATCAATTTTTTGAATTTTCAAATTAGAATAGGTCTCAGGATTATATTGTTCTACAATGTTTCAATTTTGTCTTGAAACAATTGTTTCCATGAAGTACAGGACAGGATACCACTATTCATGCTTGGTATTGCCCAACAGTTCAGAGGACATTGCCGTGGGAAGTTTTAATAAAATCCACAGTGACCTGAATCTAATTAAACGCTAGAAAGTCTTGCATTTAATTCCTAGAGTAACTAAAAATACCAAAAATACAATAAAAAATTAAAGTGCCATATTAGTGAACATTTTAGCGTGGAGAGGGTATAAGAAGTTTTTACTGGATGTTTTTCAGTTTCTTTCTTTACATTCTTCTTTCTTGCCCTCCTTTTTTCTCATGTTTTCCGATTGCCGTTTTCCCTTCCTCCTTCCTTCCTTTCTTTCCTTTGTTCTTCATCCTTTCTTTCCTAGGAAGTGAAATGGCATATAATGACCACTACTGACAGGTTTCTTTTGGGGCTCCAATTAATTCTCGCCATCCCTTGTACTGAATGGAGATGTGGTCGGCAATGACCATTCCATATACCTCTTCCGCTCTCTTGGTTTCCATTCCCCACCCTTCTTTTCTCTCCACTCCCCCCTCCTCCCCCGCCCCGCCACCCCCTTCCCTTTCCAAACTAGAATTCAGCAATGAGTGAGCTTCATGGTCAAAACAAGGAAGGTTATCGCATGAAACAAGCCTGGTTAATTTTATAAAATTCAATTTTAAATGTTGTCGGTTGCTCTTTGTTTTGTTTTGCTGTTCAGTTTCTTTGATTTTCTTTTTCAAAATGTTCATAGAAATCAGTCATTGACTAGGCAGCTGTAGACTAGGTTGGTACCGAGAAAAAGAAGGAATACTTTATTTTATAAAATACTTTCATTTTGGTTAACAGTTGTGATGCAAGGTTATTAAAACTGCATTGCAATTCTTTTGCTAGGGTCTCCTCATAATCTCTGTTTTGGGCAACACAGGAAATAACATATATATATATATATATATATATATATATATATATACACACACACACACACAGACAATTGCACAAATGCAATTGTGCTTCAGGAAACAGGGCCTTTAATTCTTTTTGTCCACAGCAGCATGCATATTTTTATAAGATCATTTAAGTTGTTTTGCATGGTGAGTGACCCACTGATCTTTGTAAACAATACGGTTTTCTTAGAGGATCACTTAGAAGGTAAAAGCAAGAGCTCCTCTACTCTAAAAGAATTTATATCTCTAAAAGAATTTTCTTGACTGATGGATGGAAACCATATATCTAAGACATTCGAAAACTGCCCATTTCATATATTCTGTCTTGTCTGATTATGCACTGACTTCAGATTTGAGAAGTATGTTCTTCATGCCTAATTCTTTCATTGAGTACAGAGGGAATGAATAAACAGGCAAATATAAAAGCCTATCTGTGGCATGCTGACCAAAGAAGAACCATGTCCTTCTGAGCCTATGCCATTCCCCCAAAGGAGCAAGTGCTAGACTGGTATAGCCACTAAAACTCTCTTCAAGCATTTGCCTCTCTAACATGGTTCCATGAAGGATCTTCTGAACCCCATGACCAAACTCTCCCCCACTAGAGTTTGATGCTGGAAATTTAATTATCTAAGTAGTGTTTTGGTCATTTAGTCTAAGGCTTTGTCCCTCTATAAAAATATAAACATTCTTCAAACCTTGTATACGACAGTCTAGATTGAATGAACTGCTCAGTCTTGCCTTGAAGGTTTGATTTTGGTAAAGAGGACAAAAAGAACTTGCCACAGTAGAGAGACCCTGGAATCAGCACTGAAATGGAGCAATCCAACCAGGACAAAAGGGCGGTGAAAGAGAGCACAATTATTACTACTATGTATTCCTGAGACTTGACCGAGCACCAGGACTTCTACTTCCTGTCCCACGTGGACTAGCGCTAATGGATGAGACTAACACAGTTTGATATTCCCTTCATTTGTTATTCATTTAAAATGAGTCAGTTAATTTCGTGAAAAATTTTTCAAATCTTATTTTAGTTATTGAAAATAATTTCATGTGTAGTTGTAAACAGACTAAGTACTACAATAATATCCAAAAGTAAGTTTAAACTAAGTGATCATTAAGATGTATATGTGATAAATGAGTATATTTTCTTAGGGATATTAATTTTTTCTTTCATTCTTACAGCAAACAAGACTTGGAGTCTACAGATGAGGTAAGGGCAAAACTAACTGAAAATCAAATACAGTTAATAATAAAAATAGATTTTTATATCTGTATTTTTTAGTTTTGTACTTTTATTACAGTGAAACAGGTTGGTGAAAGAATGGCCATTTTTAGCTCTGATGTATCTTGGTAATGCCTTTAAGAGTAAAGACTATTTACCAAACGTTGTTATTGTATAATTTAATTGGGTCGTTGCTTAACAGAGCAATACTGATTAGATTACTGAGACCTACATTATCGTTTCAACAAATCAATTATGACTCATGGTTATTCCATATAGGAGAACCTAGGGTTTTCTTTTTGAACCTAGGATTTTCTATGGCTGATTTTTAGAAACAGATCATCAGGAACTTTTGAACTGAGCCGATTCTGGGTGAATTAGGACCTTCAAGCTTTCAATTAGCAGCTTAGGACATTAACTTTTGTACCGCCCAGGGATTCCAAAGGGACAGAGCTCTATATAAATTCTGAACCAACTCTGTAACACCTCTGGTTTTATTTGCCAATGTATTCATTTAAAAGGGAAAAAACCTTCTAAAATGGTTTAGCGACCACCTAGTAAAGACTTCCAACTGTTGAAGATACTTCTGAACTAAAATGTTTAATAGAATTATATAGACCAATCTTGTTTGGTCTTTAAAACAGTTTAAAAATATTTAGTAGAAATCGAATGTTTGGTTTCCCTAAAATACCTGGAATTGAGTACTGTATCCACAGTATATTATAGTGTAAAATTTTAAAATGATGAGGTTAACATTGAAATTGAGTGAAACTATTCTGGGAAAATAATTTTTAGTGCCCCTAAAATTGTTCCATTTCACAAAAATCTGTGGACTCTTGATCCTACAAATAAAATATTAAGTGTGTATGTGTTTAATAATAAACCTTTTTTGCTGTTTTTTACAGTCAGAAGACATTGAATCATTGATTCCTAAAGGACTTTCAGAATTTACAAAGCAGCAGATCCGCTACATTCTGCAGGTGAGGAAGCTCAATAGTAGGGGTGTGTCTGGGTTACATGCTTCTCCAAAATCAAATATGGGCATTTTGAGGCAAAATGAGAACTCAGTGATCTTATTGCTGTACTGTTCATCTGGTTGCAGGGTCCTTAAGCCAATTTCTCTTCTTTTCACCTTCCAGAGTCTTAGATGTTTGTTTTATATGTAATGCCCAGGGTTTATTACGATTATACTCAATGGAAGGAATAAGGAAGATTATTTCTACTCCCTTTTTCCAGAAGTGAAAATAATCTTTTTAAAAATAATCTTTATTTGAAGAAATTAGTTTAATCTATAAAAGAGCTTTCTACCTGCTCTTTAAACTTTGAGGTTATTCTACACTTCGAACTTTATCTCTTTTTTTAAAAAACATTTTATTAGGGGCTCATACAACTGTTATCACAATCCATACACACATCAATTGTGTAAAGCGCATTTGTACATCATTCTCAAAACATTTTCTCTCCACTTAAACCCCCGACATTAGGTCCTCATTTTTCCCCTCCCTCCCCGCTGCCCCCTCCCTCATGAGCCCTTGATAGTTTATAAATTGGTATTTTGTCATATCTTGCCCTGTCCGACGTCTCCCTTCACTCACTTTTCGGTTGTCTGTCCCCCAGGGAGGAGGTCACATATAGTTCCTTGTAATCGGTTCCCTCTTTCCTACCCATTCTCCCTTTACCCTCCCTGTTTCACCACTCACACCACTGGTCCTGTAGGGCTCATCCGCCCTGGATCCCCTGTATTTTCAGTTCCTATCTGTACCAGTGTACATCCTCTGGTCTAGCCAGACTTGCAAGGTCGAATTCGAGTCATGGTAGTGGGAGCGGGGAGGAAACATTTAGGAACTAGAGGAAAGTTGTATTTCTCATTTTTGTTACATCACACCCTGACTTTATCTTAATTAGTATTGTATTCTCACCTCAGGCAAAATCTTCACACTTGTCAGCACACTTAGGATGATGTATTTTATTGTTTGAAAATTACTTGTCTCATCTCTTAGAAACTTTTAAATATTGAATAAAATTACATTTAAAAATGTGTACATAGAATTCTATCATATGAGAAAAATAATATTTCATCATCAAAATAAAAATACACATTTCTTCTAATCACCTACAATCTCTTCAAAAGTATTTTTTAATTACTTAATCATATTATTGACAAGACGTCCTTAATCCAATATATTACTTCACCAAAAATAAGATTGCTAGTAAGTGTGCCAATAGCATCAGGAAACTAAGAGTACTGTCATTTTTATTGCTTACTTTCAAATACTAGTAAAGGTAAACCATCAATTGGTTTCTTCCTACAGATGAGGGGAATGGCGGATAAATCACTCCGACTAGTGCTGTCTACATTCAGCAACATACGAGAGGAACTTGGACATCTTCAAAATGACCTGACAGTAAGATTTACTTTTTTATTTCATCAGCCTTTGTATTGCTTAGCTTCCTAACACAGAAATCAAAATATGTAATCTGATTGAAAAAAAATAAAACAAAACACAATATTTATCCTAAGCCAAACATACCTACATTATTTTTTATTGAACAATTATTTAGGGAATAGGAGTGAGAAGAAAGCACCTGTCCAATGTGTAAACAGAAACATTGTGGATGTGCACTTATTATTTGAAGTTATCACTAAGGTTATTTAATATTCAAATTGAGAAAATAATTTGCAAAAGTAGTATAATGGAATCTAATGAATGGGAATTTCACCCTTTTCTAAAATAATGGACACTGAAATTTTCTTCAAACAATATAACGTGAAATCTCTCCACAAACTTTTTCTATTCTCTATCTTAATTGATTTCTAGATTATAGCATCATCTAGGTACATTCAAAATTCTTTCCATATAATGAATAACTCCTTCAGTACTTTGTAGTAACTTTTTTTGTTTCCAGATTCTAATTTGTAATGCACCAACTGTTGGTATTAAAAAGAGGTCTTTTTAGGTTGGAGGAAAACATTAAAATAATTCAAAAGTTTCTACTTCTTTGCACAAAGAGGTAGTAGATCAAAATGTCTCTTTCTGTGTCAATATTTTAAAATATTTTATATTTTCATATACTGATAAGTGTCAAAGTTTTCAATCTTTTATAATCCATATTTTGCTTGCTTTTTAAGAATCCTGTTCCATTAAATACTGACCAGTTAATCAAGCATTTCTTTAAATTTTTCTCTGTAAAGCAAGTCTTTATATTCTGTGACTTGACAAGTTTCTTTAACCTGATTCATAACAAAACTATATGCTTCTAGGCACTTGAAAATGACAAGTTAAGACTGGAGAAAGACTTGGCATTCAAAGAGACTCAAATAAAAGAGTATGAGGAACTTCTGGCGTCAGTGAGAGCAAATAATCGCCAGCAGCAGGTAAGTTGATGATTGTACTGATGATAAACCAGATTTATCATTGTTCATAACCACAATTAGTGGCACATGAGAGTTATACAATATAATCCAAAATATTATCATTAAAATATGATGGAAAATTTGTCCATGTGAGGACTTGGTGGCTTTGAGCATTTCTGGAAACTGAGAGCCCGCTGAGAAAACTCAATAACTTTAGGTACAAAGTACATCATGAATAATTATCTGTGTTGTTAGTTGATAAGAATTATGTAACTACTAAAAATATAGGTTTACTCATTCATCTTGTCTATTATCATATCAATGAAAAAATTATTTTGTGTGCTTAAAAACGTGACTGGGTGATGAAGAAAGTAAGGTGGTAACTGTAGTTCTCTAGATATCTGAGCAGAGATGGTTCCTAAGAAATTTCACTGATTGCCTAGGACTGAAACCCATTCCTAATCTGCTCTCCTATTACTGTCACAAATTGTTGAGTTTCCAATTGTCATATAATCATGCCTATGGTTATATTAGTGGTCCTAAACAGTCAAAGACTAGGAGAAATCAGATAGCTAAAGAGGATATTGAAAAATTCACTTGGTCTTAATTCCTTCTTGTACGGCTAAGTGAGACTAGAAGCAAGTAAGCAATATCTTGCATGACTGATTCAGTTTATGCTCTAGGGGAAAGTAGATCAGAAAACTGAACAATGAAAAATATTCATTTGATTTGACTGACTGAATCGACCAAAAGAGCACCCTAATCTCCTAAAAAAGTATAATGCATTTATCTTACCTCTTTTTGTCTTCTGTACAGCAAGGACTTCAAGATTCCACCTCAAAATGCCAGACATTGGAAGAAAACAATCTCTCTCTACGGCATACACTGTCTGACATGGAATATAGACTGAAAGAACTGGAATACTGCAAACATAATATGGAACAGGAGAATAAAAACCTTAGAATTCAGGTATTAACATTTTGTATTATATATATATATATATACTGTATTTTGGTTACATCATCATAGTTATATACATACATTAATGCACATACTTGGACTTCTTTCTGATAGCCACATACAGTTAGGTTTTTATCTCACTACCATTTGTGCTATTTAATGTGCTTCCTGAAAATCGTTCATAATTTCAATGTCTTCTTTAATCACACAGTTTTAAGTATAATAGTAAATCTCATAATAATATACATTCCAGAATCTAGTTACAGCATGTTATTTCATTTTGTGTAGGTTTCTGAGACTTGCACGGGCTCAATGCTGCAGGCTAAAATGGATGAAATTGGCAATCACTACATGGAGACGGTAAAAAATTTGAGAATGGAGAAAGATAGAGAGATTAGCAAATTAAGGGTAAGTTTATTCCCCCCAAAGGCCCAGGTTAGCACACTTTATAGTAAGATATTGATGATTTCAAGTTTAAAGCTATAAAAATTTAAAATCATTAATCCAAATGAACATAAAATTTAAGGACTGTACCATAGAACCTTTTGCTTTAAATATACATCACTGTATACAGAATATTAGTACTAATCTATTTTCTAAATTTGCTTAATTTTTTCTAGGAAAGTACAAGAAGACATTCAGTTCAGTGTCAGTTTTAAGCGCTTGGGATGAGAGGCTTTATAATCACTGTAAAGCATATTTGTACAGGCAAGAACAACTTCCAGATTGTCCAGGAAAGCCACACTTGCATTCATAATAACTTACGTTTAACTTTGTGGGGTGATACATACCAATGATACATACATAACTTTGTTTCTTTTTAAAACAAAAGAAAACAAAGAATTGTTGAATTTTTTATAACTATAAATTTCAATAAAATAAGGATGATATTTTCTAGAATAAGTATACATTATTTTATAATTTTAGGTCAAATTGATATGGTTCAATTTATTGGTTTCCAAATGTAGTTGAATATACTTAAATATGTAATAGAAAAACTGAACATAGATTTCTTTTTCTGTCCAAATCTCATTGTACAATTTCTATCAGAACAATTAATCATTTGTATTTTCTTTTGTTTTAAAAAGCAACAAAGTTATGTATGTATCATTGGTATGTATCACCCCACAAAGTTAAATGTAAGTGTTTGTGAATCCAAATACATTGTTGCAGCAGCGATAAATACATTTCCTTGAAGGTCTTCCTCTTTCCATTGACCCTCTATGTACCAATCTTGATGACCTTTTCCAGGGACTGGTCTCTCCTGCTAACATATCCAAAGTACATAAGACAAGCCTCGCTCTCTTTGATTCTGAGGAACATTCCGGCTGCACCTCTTCCAAGATAGATGTGTTTCTTCTACTGGCAGCGTTACAGTAGTTTCCGTGTTCATCACCAACACCGCTATCCAAATGCATCAATTTTTCTGCACGACTCCTTATCCTTTGTACAGCTTCCACATGTATATGAGGTGATTGGCTATACCATGAATTGGGTCAGGCACACATTTGTTACATGCCATCAAGTTGGTTCCAACCCATAGTAACCTGATGCCACACAATCGAATGAAACTGCCCAGTCCTGCATAATCCTCACAATTGTTCCTATGCCTGAGTCTACTGTCGCACCTACGATGTCAATCCATCTCCTTGAAGGCCTTTGTCTCCTTCATTGTCCCAGTACCCTACCTAACACAATGTCCTGACAACATGTCCAAAGTATGTAAAACAAAGTCTCATAATCATTGCCTCTAAGGAGCATTCTGGCCATATTTCTTCCAAGACAGTAACCTTCGTCCTTTCAGCAGCCCATGGTACTTTCAACAATCATCTCTAGCACCACAGTTCAGAAGCAGCGATTCTTCTTCGGTCTTCTTTATTCAATGTCCAACTTTCACATCCATATGAGACCACTGAAAACACCATGACTTGGGTCAGGCACAACTTAGTCCTCAAGTAACATCATTATTTTTCAATACCCTGAAGTGGTCTTGTGCAGCAGGTTTATGTACCACAACCTGTGTTTTCATCTCTTTATTGCTGCTTCTGTAAGCATTGATTGTGGATATAAGTAAGATAAAATCCTTGACAACTTCAACTTTTCTACTTTTATTACGAGGTTATCTATTGATTCTGTTGGGGGGATTTTGGTCTTCTTTGCAGTGAATTGTAATCTATACTGAAGGTTACAATCCTTGGTCTTCATCAGCAAGTGCCTTAAGTTTTCTTCACTTGTATCAGGCAAGACTCTGTCATCTGCATATCACAGGTTGTTAATAAGCCTTCCTCCAATCCTGATGCCATATTCTTCTTGACAGAATCCAGATTCTCTGAGTTTTTGCTCAATATATACATTAAATAATATGGTGAGAAGGTACAACCCTGTCCTACATTATTACTGATTTTAAAACATGCCGTATTCCCGCGTTCTGTTCACACAACTGCCTCCTGATTCATGTATAAGTTCTGAATGAGCACACTGAAGTGTTCTGGAATTCCCATTCCCCTCAAGTCTGTCCATAGTTTGTGATGATCAAGCTAGTCAATGAACCACAAGTAAACATCTTTCTGATTTCAGCCAGGATCCATCTGACATCAGCAATATCTCTTGTTCCACAACTTCCTTGTCAATGTATTGCTTCACCCATTTTGGATGATCTTAAGCAAAATTTTACTGGAAAATGATATGAGTGATATTGTTGTATCATTTGTGCCTTCCATTGGATCAACTTTCTTTGGAATGGGTAAAAATATACATCTCTTCCAGTCAGCTGGCCAAGTAGCTATCTTCCAAATTCCTTGGCCTGGATGAGTTAGAGCTTCCACTTATTCCATCTATTTCTGGAACCTTTTTCTTGGTAAATGCCTTCAGTGCAGCTTGAACTTCTTGCTTCAACACCATTGTTTCTTGATTATACGCTACCTCCTGAAATGGTGGAATGTCAACTAGTTCCTTTTAGTACAGTGACTGTATTCTTTCCATCTTTCCTTGATATTTCCTGAATCATTTAATATTTTGCCCATGGAATCTTTCAAGATTTCAACTAGAGGCTTGAATTTTTTCTTGAGTTCTTTCAGTTTCAGAGATGCTGAGCGTGTTCTTCTCCTTTGGCTTTCTAATTCTAGGTCTTTACACATTTCATTACAATATTAGGCTTGACTTTTTAGAGTTGCCCTTTGAAATTTTCTATTCAGCTCATTGACTTAATACTTTCTTCCACTTGCTTTAGCTACTCTATAATTAAGAGCACCTTTCAGAGTTTCTTCTGACATCCACTTTGATCCTTTCTTTCCTGTTTTTTTAAATCATTTTACTGGGGGCTCTTACAGCTGTTTTGTTTTTTATCATTTTATTTGGGGCTCATATAACACTTATCACAATCTATACACACATCAATTGTGAAAAGGACATTTGTACATTCATTGCCCTCATCATTCTCAAAATATTTGCTCTCCATTTAAGCCCCTGGCATCAGCTCCTCAGTTTTCCCCCTCCCTCCACACTCCCCCCTCTCCCCTCCCGCATGAACCCTTGATAATTTATAAATTATTATTTTGTCATATCTTACACTGTACGACGTGACCCTTCACCCTCTTCTCTGTTATCCGTCCCCCAGAGAGGAGGTTATAAGTAGATCCTTGTAATCGGTTCCCCCTTTCCACCCCACCTTCCTGGTATCGCCACTCTCAGCACTGGTCCTGAAGGGATCATCTGTCCTG